TGCAAAAATTGTAAATAACATAAATATTTTCTCCACTTTCTGTCAGGCTTTACTCGATACTTCTGTCCTTTAACTGTTAAAGCTTTGGCATTGGTATAGTTCCTGTTTCTGAAGTGTTCATATTTCACATAGTTATATTCTGTGATATTTGTCAACCAGTCTTTGAACTGGCCTTACCATGTTTCTTTTAAAATCTGGCAGTTACTGACTTCTTGAGTCTGACAGAAGGAAAACTACTCCAATTTACCCAGAGCCCACGTTAACTTCTTAACCAGTTGACTTTTCTCTCGTTATAGAAGAAAAGGTTTCTTCACATCAACATTTTCTGCTACTGGAGCTAAGAGCAAAATCTACCTCATTTACCTTCTTAGGCATGACTTAAAATTCCAATGTGGACAGAGGTAATGTGCAAGAATAAAAACAACTTTTCTTCAAAACAGAAAACAACAAAATATATCAAAAACTTTAAGGAATTGTAGTTAACTTTGACGTGAAACTAGGAGCTCATACTAGTTGCCATAAGTAAGAGGTTCTCTTTTGAAGGGTTATGTAAAGATGGAAGAATATAACTCTAAAAAATACACAGTGATCTGATCCACAAAATGCTATGGGTTGTAGCAATGACCTCATAAAATAGATTTTTCTCACTGTATTATTTCAATGAGCCAAGGATTTAAGCTATTGATTCTTACAAGATATAATCAATTAACACTTTTCTGCTGTTTATCTCATGAACCAGAAGAATTCTGTTTACTTTGGTTTAAATTATTTATTGAATGTTTATTCTGTTTTCACTATGTCAATTTGTCATTATATGATGGTTTAGAGAGAACTCCATTAAGATTTCGGAATCCAACTAGCACAACTATGAGAATACAACTATCATGAATAATTTTGTTTTTCCTATCAAACTTTTCACATCATTAGATAGTTATCCAAAACTTCACATTTCTCCTTAGCTGACTGAATTTCCCTTAAGAGAAATGGTGCAAATTTCACTGAGTGAAATAGCATAGTGGACACTAGGCCGCTTCATAACAGAACCCTTTCAGACTAATAAATTTTTTTGCATGAAAAAGATTGATTTTAATAATTACTTCACTAACCATCTTTTTCTATGAGTTAATATTTTCAATGTAGTTAAATTATCCTTTAAATTAATCTATTGTTGATTGCTTGATGACAGATGAGTTTGGTAGCAATGTATTTAAACAAAAAATAGAACAAAAACTACTAGCAATTAAGCAGAGTATGACATCCATGCCTTAAAGGCAATATTATTATAACTTGGTACAAGTTTTATTAAGAGGAGGAATGAGAGAATTTTTATTGAGCTGTGCTGCCCAGTTCTGTTGGACATTCACCAATGTGCAAAAGTACAACATTCTCTCTTGAAATTCAAGTACTACTTTTTTTTTTTTTTTTTCTTTTTGGCCAAACTGTTTCTTTATGATATTAACAACTTTCCTGTTTCCAGTTAAAAAGATCAAAAAATGTCAATAGCATCATTAGCGGGCTAAAAATATTAAGACCATTTTTGAAAATGAATCAGGTGCAGATATTGAACTGTACTTTTTCATCCTTTGTCTCACTTTTCAAATGATAATTTCTTCCACAGTCACCGTTAAATCTTGATCTATTCCAGCTCTCTGTATGGGTCATTGATTCTAGATGTACCATGGTTATTTTTAAATGTTTCCTTTTTGCAGAGAAAAAGAGGGCTGTCTAGAGCCAGATGGGTAACTTCACACTTCATTTATCAAACCCAATGCATTAGACTCCACCCTCTCTTTCCCACTATTGCTGTTAAACTTCCATATAATTTGGTAACAATTTTCATTATCATAGAGTGACCCCAAAAAGTCTACACAGGTTTGCATGGTTAACCCAAAATTCACAGCTGTTCCCTTTACCCACTGTTTGTTACAGTAGAGTCCGAGGTTCCCCTCCCTCCATAAGCCGAAGGGTGACCTTTTCTAAGCAGAGGTTAAGAAAGGGTCAGTTCAAAGGGCTAGAGCAGCTCTTTAACAGCTATAACAACCTGTCCATCAGGCGCTATCAAGCAGTATAAACAAATCTGAGGCTTTAAGCAACTCTGGACCATTTCTGTTAACACTTAGAGGACATTCACTGAGTCCTACCTGAAGTCTTTTGGATCATTGCCACTCAACAGGGAACAACTTGAATCCTTGGAAGACCTGCACAGTAACTATGAGACCAACGACATCTTCGAGTCGATAGGATACGAGATGGAGGGCTGGAACACCTACGTGCTACCACGCAGCCTGGACCATGGTGCTGAACTAACAGCTTAGAGTGCTTTCCACTGGTTAATATGCAGAAGCACTGGTACAACTTCAAAGCAGAGGATGTGGTAAGATGCATTATCCAAGTAGACATGTACACACCAAAACGTGACAGACACCTTCTTTTTTTTTTCCTCTGAGAAAGGCAAATTTGTAAAGTTTCAACCCGTTTATACTAACAATTCCCAGATTTATTTTATTTTTTTTACTTAAGGTGACAAAGACAAATAAAACGTGTGAAAGAACAGAATGCCTACATAATTCTACGAAGGCCAAGTGCAGAGTAAAGTTTTCGCCAGCTGCCCTCCCTTCGTTGACCTAAATTTCTTGGAGTTGTACTGTTCATAATGTGCTCTCTAATGCACAATGTAAGGTAATTAGAGTCATCTGTATTTAACTTCCAGAGGAAAAAAAATTCTATTATCTAATCTAGCTGATCCCCTGATAGCCTGTTGAAAGTAAAATACTGTAACCTATTGCCTGCCCTTTGACAAGTGCTAATTATTTCCTGTCCAAGCACATTTTTCTCATGTAATTCCAAAGTACACAATAGACTGATCTCTAAAACATGGGCAGCCCTGCTAGTACCACGGCGGACATTTTATAACTTTCACCACTGGATGCTTGATGGCTACCACAGTCAGTGCTTCATTCCAGACATGGAGCTGAAGCTTTGATGAAGTGAAGTGAGGTGTATGGTAACAGTCTGTTTATGCAGATCATATGGATGAGACTCAGATAGGTCACTGGGATGGGAAACATCAAATGGAAAGAAAAAGGATTAAGGATATTTAATACTCAAAGGACACTTTCTTTCAGAACTTTCAAGGCACAATGCTCTTGAAATTTTCTTTCAGGTGTTTAGTTTTAAGGAGGCCTGCACTTTGTCTGCTTCTAAGCCTCTCCCTACCCCCACCCAAGAGCTCTGGCATTTGTGTGTCAGACAAGGCTATGTCTACAACTGCAACGTTGGCTCCAGCCTCCGATTAAATCATGAACTGTAAAAGCGGAGGCCAGAAACACTGTAACCACATTATTTTTAAATGACTCTTGATTGCTGTGATTCCTGTTGACTTAGTATATTAGGGTATTATTGTTAAGCTAAACAAACACGAAAAAGATATTCCACTCATTACAATTATTTAGCCTTGTTCTATCTCTAGAAAGCTTTCTGTTCTGGTTCACAACGAGGATGCACATGTCCCAAGGAAAAGCTTTAAGTGGTTTCCTCTGTTTCCAACGTAGTCAAACTATTTGCAGTATTTATGAAGTATGGTGATGGAAAACAAAAAAACACAACTAAAAAAAAAAATAAACCCAAAACACACAAACAATATAATTCTCTTAAATTTCTTAAAAAGGAAGAAACAAAACACACATACAATCTGAACAATATTATAGACTCACCTTACTGAGCTCTTTTCTACTCTGAGTTCTTAAGTCATAGTATACAAACAAATATCACATATGCATAAAAAAGCAAATTTATAAAAACACTGTTTCTAAGTTGTAATAGGTGCTACTATGTAGCAATGCTTAATTTCTATCTAAAGCTTCTAAAATGTTTCAAGTGCAATCAATACAATTACTGGGAGCGCAAACACAGACAAGTGTCAGATCTGATATCTACAACTGACTTTCTAGTCAATCTAAGAAACCTCAGGACATTTCATAAGTTACACATTAAAAAAAAAAAAAAGGAGAACTCTCTTAATTGGAACGTATAGTGCAGGTCAAAAATCATGCCAGTTAAGTAGTTAAGTGTTAGTTTTGATAAACCAAGTCTCATAAAGAAAATTTGACTAAAACCTGTATTTCATTGTAAGCGCAGGACGTCTCCTGGTCTTAAAAGGAGCTATACATTTAGAAGAAAAAATTCAGAGACTAACAGGTATTATATGTAATTATTTATCATAAATAAGAATAAATAAATAAATAAATATAGATCTACAGCTTTTAGAAATGTGAAAAAAGTTGAGATGGACTCCACAGGTAAAGAGAAGAAGGCAGATGCTGGAAAGACAGTTGCATATGGCAATTTTGTTTTTTTGAATTCACATATTTCTGGAAGAACTAGAAGTATGATGCAACTGTTTCCAAAATACATTAATCTGACTACAGTACAGTAATATAAATTTTTGAAATACAAACACGAACAACTTCTTAAAATTGTTAATAACATCACCTGCTCATAATAGAGCAATATGCTCAATTTAAGAACCCACTGTAGAAATATGTACACTGTATGCCAATCTCACCTAACACAATCTGGTTAACACAAGTAGGGAACCACAAGAAGTGTGAGCGTTGTGAAGAAAGCAGGCAAAATGGACACCTTTTAGTATGGCAACCCTGCTGGGCATATTGCTCATATTGTTCATAGTATAAGGAAAACCTCAGGGCATTTAAGGCAACAGCAATCCTCAAATATCTATGCTGTCTATCAAGGTATTCTCAATACATTGTACTACATAAGCACAGTAAAGGAGCATTCTACCCCACAAATTGTATCTGTAATCAGAAGCAGAAACATTAAGTATTCTTCCATTCAGAGAAAAATACCAGTTGAACTGTAAAACTTGCGAATTTTTTTAAACATCTATTTTTTTTTTGACTCCCTAGAAGTGGTTTAATAGAACTATATTTGATAGACTTATTTCTAATTTCAATATCTCACTTTCTCCAATGTCTCACCTTGCTGTCCACTCTTTACGTAGCCTTTGTCGCTCTGTAAGAACTAGCAAGAAGCAGCTGATGGTTTCATTCCTTTGTTCTTCAGTTTGTTCCTTTTTTCTAACTTCATGGAGGACCAGGCTTGACTTAAAGGGGAAAAACACATAAAAATTATAATCTAGAAATAGGAAACAATGTGTAAAATTAATAAAAAGCCCATAAGCAAATAAGGACAGTAAATCAATACCTTTTTTTATTACACTTCCACTGCTGACAAATCAATACAGTAAATGATGGTTAGAAATGGCCACCATATATTCAGTACTTAATCAATGTACATGGCACATAAGGTAAACCTTAAAATCTCATTGCCTTAAGTAACATAACAAGACGTTGTGCATTCTAACATTTTTTTTAAAGATATAATTCTTTTCTCTTTTAAATATTTTCTTATATCACATTATATCAGAAGTGTTTCCCTTACTACAGCATTTGTCTGGGGGACTCCCCCCAACCCTTTTATCCTACTGAAGACAATTCCTGTTTGTATTTTATCTTCTGAAAGGAATTTCTAATCATGTCCCCATGCTCCATTTGTCATGAAATATTTCAAGTAAACAAGTAGCAAAACTCTATCTTTTTTTCTTTATGGAATACACTACAAATTGCTGGAAAAAAATACATACAGCAGACTTCACTGTGGAGCAGGCTAATGCTCAGGCCCTGCAGAGCTCAAGTTGTTGGCTTTTCCAAATGTTGCATTAACAGTTAAACCAACAAAACTGCAGATCTGTCCTTCAGCCACCCAGCCAGTCAACTCCAAGTCCATCACTCCTCCTTTGCCTGCTACTACTACAAACTCATTCACAGTTTCCTCCTCTTCTTTCCCCTCTGCTTTCCATGGCTGCAAACTTGGGGCAAAACCAGAGCGTGCTGATGCTCATTCAACTGACGTGTACAGTGCTGTGCTGACTGCACAGGCAGCAGTCCAACCACACCACAGAGCTTGAGTCCATGCTGAAGTCTTCTCCTTCAGTGGGAATAATTTATTTTTCTTTCTCTCCTTAAACAGCCTCTGATTTTCACTTAATTATCTTTGATACTCTAACCTTCATTCACATATTCCACAACCAGACCAAAGTATCCTAAATGCTTTTGGGAAGGATGTGACTAAGTGGACGGAATCCTTACATAAACCTAGTTTATTCCACTGAAAAGGACGCTAAAAATATGTTTCTGACTTGAGCAGTTATGGAAGTGAGTTTCAAAACCCAACTCAAATATCACCAATAACTATAAATGCTTCCCCCAGCATGGCCTCTTTTATGGGAACAAGACGAACAGGCACGGCACACAGCCTCCTTCTCAGCATCACAGCACACTTCAGTCTGTCCTGCCCAAGTGGACACGCACAGATTCCTCTGGGGCTTCTGCGAGATAAATGGTCATTATCTTCAGGTTGTGAAAACAGGAAGATCTGTTCTTGGTCTGGCATTTTTTTCCATGAGTTAGAAAAGTATGCAGATTATACACTTGTTAAGCTATGCAAAGTAGCAGTGGCCTTGCTACTGTGATGATGGTTCCAAAAGACAAGCGTGATAGGATTCATATAGAAAATACTTTTATTACACCAATATCAGATAACAAAGAACACAAAGCATCCATCTTCCACTCCATCTCCTAGCTCTATCGGTTGGCCTACCACAAGGCCTTACCCCATCATACCAAACTTACATATCAGAAAGAACAGTTTCTTAAAAAAAATATGAAAAAAAACAACAAAACATAAACAAAAGAACACCAAATGTCTAAAACTCTGTCTATACAGATCACATTCTTGACCCTGCTATGACATTACAAAGCAAACAAAAAGCCAGGGAATAATTTCAGATTAGGATTCTCCAACATGGGTTTCCCTTGCATTGACCTACAACATCTTTTCCATCCTATCCACCAACTTCAACAGGCCCGCTCTTAGGCTCACTTCCAGGAACTGCACAGTTAAAGCAGGATTTGATAGAGGACTTCAACACGTGAGAACACACTCACGTCAGATGAAGAGATTTACATCCTGCAAGAGATGAAAATGAACAGTCCTTGCCATTCAGAATAAATATGCCTCTTAAGGCTCTAACATTTGTATTTCAAGACTTTTGACACAGCACTACAGGTAAAACTTATCTCCATATAACAGCACGATCAGACTGGCCACACCAGGCAGTACACCAGGATTTCCCTTTTGGAATTCTTGGATACCCTTATTATTCACAATGGGACAGGGAAATCCACAGGAGATGGTGAAGCTGGTGATGGTGTCTAAATCTATTTCCCTCCAAGACTGCAGAAAAGCCACAAAGTTTAATGATGCGATGCCAGACAAATCTGCTAGTATAATTATTTGCAGGCAAAAAGCATCAAGATCCCCTAAATAAATAAGTGGTTCCCAAAGTGTAAACCATGGAGAACTGATAGTTGCTAAGGACTTTTGACTTAAAATTTTATCAAAACAGGATGTCATTGGAGTTTTATCAGTCAGCAAAGCTGGGTGACCACTTCTCCAAATATTCACAGTCACGTAATGCTTGTGTATGAATGCTGGTGGCCCAGCCACATTGCAGCTTTGGTACTGCATTCCACTAATGTAAAGTCCCCTTCTTCTACATCATAATTCTGGAAATTGAACATAATTTAATTTTTACTGAGAGAACAACTATATTGCCCCAGACTTCTGTTAACACCTTTCATTTCTCTGGTGATGCAGACAGTTCAAGTCAAGCGCAGTTTGACACTGCCATCATAAACGCTTCTTTACTGAGCCCTGCGAGTACTGCTGCAGCTACCTTGAGGGTGAAATAGTACATTAAGCAACATACAACAACAATACATAGCAATTTAACTGATTTACTTGTTTCCTAGGAGTGCTAAGGGCAGTAAGGTTACCTGGAATACGAGTGCAGGGTTTGATATGTAGCTTTTATAGAGGCATTTCTTAATAACTCGCTATTCTTATTGTCTCAATAAAAATCCTAAATTGTAATAAATAAAGCAGCATTCTGGGTAAAATTATATTACAAAACACCCTCCTTTGAAAGATTGGGTTTTGCAAGTAACTTGTTTTGGGATTTATTTTTAACAAGGGGATTCAATATATACCTTGACTGATAAAGGTCAAGGGTTCAAGAAACTCGGTCAAAGATGTTATCAGCTGGGAAAGCCATTTCCTCACATCAACACTGATAAAAATCCATCAGAAACCCGGCCGATACCACCCCTACTCTAAAGGGCAGGAATGACCTTCTTTTGAACATCACTATAGTTGCACATCCCATCAAAGAAAATCTGACCCCGTGTCTCAATCCTTTTAATGTTCTTTAATGACAGATAATTGTCTACAGAGGCCCCCTGTGCCCAACGCTGAGTGAAGCCTTCACTTTTCTGAACTGGACTCAACACTGACTCAGTGTTGTTCAGCACACTTGGGACCAGAGGACAGTCGAATAAACAAACAATGCAGCCAGCCCTACAGCCTGTCTTATCTCATCCTTGGGCTCGCAGAGATTCTTGAGGGTGGTAATGTTTACAGATTGTTGAAACTTTCTTTCTTTTGCTTCCTGAGCTGGCAAAAACATATCCTGGACAACCCAAGCAACAAGATTACGTAAATTGCTTATCACTTGGGGGAAGCAACTTCTTGTCTCATTGGCCAGCATGTGTCTTTAATAAATAGCAATGTTAACATCTTCAAATCTCCCCCCTTTTTCCTTATAAATCTATTTAAATATTTAGGGCATTTCCTTTGTAATTCCCAAATGGCACAGTCTTAAAAATAAGGAAAACACAACAACACAGAACCCACCTCAAAAAAACAAAACAACACAAAGTACATGTGCATATATAAAGCAGCTGCCAATCTGGTCTTCTATGTGAGGCTGTTTAGCAAATGATATCCTTTACCTTCCTCCTGGTTCAATGGCAGAACTAAATATCTATTGCTATACTGACATATTTACTATGCAAGAAATGTATTTTAAAAGACCAATATCATATCCATCTCATTGCCACTGATGAAATATATCAGTGACATGTCTGAATAGAAACTGTTAGAATTATATATTACTATTATTACTATTACTATATCCAGGATACACACTTAAAATTATGTTTTTTATTAGTCTTAAAGCTATTGTAACAGGATAACTGGTATACTTTTTTTTTTTTTCTTGCATACACAGAAGAAATTACGTTCCAACATAAATAAGGGACTATTCTACTTAACAAACAAACAAACAAAGCATCCTCAATAACACACTCAAAAAACCCCACACTGGTACCTTTTTAGTCTTTTAAAGTTTGATTACCCTTCCTTCAATACGGACCTCTCAGGATTAGAAACATGTATAGCTGGAGACACAAAGCCTAATACTCTGTCAAACAAACTAGCCTTCAGTCTGAGCTGAAGTGGCACTTGGGACAGTTCATCTTTTGGTCCCACGTTATTGGGTCAACAAATGAGATTTTTCATTCCGAGTTAAAGATTGAATTTACTCATCACCAGTTTAAATAGGATAAGCTTCTGAATCTTTACTAATCACTTCCACTTTAATGTAGCAGTCATCTCTCAACAGTCAATAACTAGCAGAGGAAGGAAAAACAGCAAGTGTAAAATCTGTAAACAGGGCTACAATTTAAGCCTTTCTGCATCTTCCTTGTTATCTTTGTCACTATTTTGCTGTTAGTGTACCCTGATGAAAGTCTACAAAATCAGAACACTGTGCCTTTTAGAGAAAAAAAGAACCTGTAATCTATTAAGCCGTATTAATTTAACATGTCATAACTTCCATGTGATAAAAAAAGCTAGTAATTGCTTACAAACCACTGCTCATTTCTTCTTTGCTTTTAAATTTTTTTAACTTAAAATATGAGTAAATGCAGCCATTTTCACTGAGATGTGGAAGTAGCCAGTATGGTTTAAGTTATCACCCAGCAATTTGGGCACATTAAACCCAATTCTCTGCCTTTTGTTTATTAATCCACTATGCCAGATATCACAGATTCACTCAGCAACCCTCATGTTTTGGATGATATTGAAAAATGGCTCATGTTTGTCAAAGAAAGTTAAAAAAAAAAAAAAAAGGTAAAGAGGAAA